TCAATGCCTACGCATTTCTGTCTGAATCATACTTTGAGTTAAGAAATGAAACACGAAGGAAAAAAAAAAAGGAATTTCAAAAATTTCAATTTCTTTAATTTATTTTCTTACCCATTTATTTTTTTTTTGTAACTTTCTTACTCCTACCATCACCTCAGCCCCTCTCTGTCTATTTATCAATCTCCCACACTCTCTCTCTCTTTCTCTCCCCCTCTCCCTCTCTCGTCCCCTCACTCTTTCCTCTTTCTCTTCACCCCCTCTCCCTCTCTCGCCTTCTCTATCTTTCCCCTTTCTCTTCACCCCCTCACCCTCTCTCATCCTCTCTCTCTTTCTCTCTCTTTCCCTCTCTCCCTCTCTCGCCTTCTCTATCTTTCCTCTTTTTCTTCACCCCTCTCTCTTTCTCTCTCACCCCTCTCCCTTTCTCACCCCCTCTCACTCTTTCCTCTTTCTCTTTACCCCTCTCTATCTTTCCTCTTTCTCTTCACCCCCTTTCTCTCCCTCTCTCGCCCCCTCTCTCTTTCTCTCTCTCCCTCTCTCACCCCCTCTCACTCTTTTCTCTTTCTCTTTACCCCCTCTCACTCTTTCCTCTTTCTCTTCACCCCTCTCTCTTTCTTTCTCTCCCTCTCTCACCTCACTCTTTCCTCTTTCTCTTTACCCCCTCTCTCCCCCTCTCCCTCTCTCATCCTCTCTCTCTTTCTTTCTCTNTCTCTTCCTTTCTCACAGTCCCTCACTCGCTCTCTCTCTCCCTCTCTCACCCCCTCACTCTCTCTCTCTCTCTCTTCCTTTCTCACAGTCCCTCACTCGCGCTCTCTCTCTTTCTCTCTCTATCCCTCCCTCCCTCCCCCTATCTCGCTCCCTCTCCCTTATCCTCACTCTCTATCTATCCATCTATCTATCTATCAATCTATCTATGTCTGCCATTCTCTTTCACTTATTTTCCCCCATTATTTTCTTCCATTCTTACTATTCCTATGTCCTCTTTTACCCTCTCTCCAACTATGCATACTTCCAGGTTCTGACTTTTCAAAAAGTGGACAATTGAGTATTCGAATTTAAGAAGAACTCAACTTAGACCGTGATTAATAGCCGGTGATTCATTTCATTTACAGATAAATTTTCAATTCGACAAAACCCACGGTTTATCGTCGTAAATTTGACGATATCTGAGTTTTTGTTGTTTATTTTATATTTTTTATAAAGAAATCCTCTATTTCTATAATATAAACTTTTTTTTAATGGACTGGATAATTATTAAAACGGGGGAAAACAACGGAAATTGTATTTACGCTCTGATTGACAGGGTTAATGTTTTAAAAATAATCAGTCCATTATTAAAGCGATTTAAATAACCTAAAAATCAATTAATTGCTTTTAAATTAAAAAAGTGTAAAATTATCGAGGCTGTTGTTCACTTTTTGGACTTGCCAAATTGGGCGTATTTAGAATACCTGGGGTTGGAAATAAATTCAAAAATGGGACGAAAAACGTTAAAACACGAGTCTGTTTTTTAAATAATTAATAATAAATAATTTTTCAGAAAGAAAAAATCACCCAGTGTCAGTTCAACATGTGTTAACCGACTCGCTGGTCAACCTAAAACATCGATAAATAAATAAAATAAAATTCATACCTATGAGCATTATCCGATTTTCATTGCATGTAACACTGCCTTGTTTGACCGTTGGTAGATAACAACAACAACAAAAAAATTATAAAACGAGCGAGACCGTACGAACCGGACGGTGATCGGCGTCAGACTGGTTTGAATTGAAGAGTGAAGACGGCCGGCGACGGTCCGCGGTGGGGGCCCAGGCCGGTTTGGAGGGGCGGCCGCGAAGGACGACTCGGCCCCTTGGCCGTCATCGGTTGACCCAAAAACCGGGTTGACGGTCCCTTTTCCCAGGTCGAAAGACGTGCTTTCGATCGAAAGAAAAAAACGAAAAAGAGAAAAGCAAAAGTGACATTGTTTTGGTGAAAAATCGGCCGAGACTGAAGGTACTCGGTGCGACTGTGACATCGAGCCTGAAAGGTTGGGAAAGAGATCTATCTCTGCAACAAACAACGTGGCCAAAAAGAATAAGAAACGACAGTGTAAGATGAGAGAATGAAAGAGGGAAGTGAAATAGAAAAATGATCTGAAGAAAGTAAGAAATACAGTGCTACCTAGATAAAGATAGTTAGTGACATAAACAGGATAGGAACACATACAATCATACTATGACATACATCTGTATAAAAAGTTAAGTTTTTTAATACTTTCAAGTCCCAACATTGCAAACTAATACAGTCAGTTGCTAATCAATATTGTTACAGTCCATGACAAGGTCGGGACAGATTCTGCCTAGAGAAAATTGAAACCAACTATTACAACTATTAAAAACTTAATTACGTCGCCCTGATGATGACATTAAAATAGGTCGAAAGCTTGCCGGATGATTGAATTTGTTTTTTCATCCAGACCATACCGAGATCCAGATTATTCGTGAGTAACAAAAAATTTGGTCGACACATCTAACACTTTTTTTTATGAGGGTTCGCAACAGCAGAGGTTATATCAACCCTCGGGGTACCGGTGTTTTTGAATAAAAGCTCATTTGTAAGTATGTCGGGTTCGAATGCAGGGTCGCTGGATTCGAACCCGGGAACCTTTACCTTACGATAAAAAAGATAGAAAAAGAGGGTAGAGAGAGAGTGAGTAGTGTGAAAGAGAGAGGGAGGGAGAGAGAGAGAGAGAAAGAGAATAAATGTTAATAGGAGTGAACTATTTTTTTAATCCGGCCCGGAGGACCAAACTGTTTGGAATTAATAAATTAATATGTAGATTGATAGAGAGACAAAAATAAAATAGAGTATAAATGATTTGGGAGTGAGATATAATTTTCAAATTCAAAGAGGGGGAGGGAGACAGGCAGACAGAGAGAGAGAGAGAGAGAGAGAGAGAGAGAGAGAGAGAGAGAGAGAGAGAGAGAGAGAGAGNAAAGGTTAGAGATAAAGAAAGATAGATGGAGTGAAAGAGAGCGATAAAGATATTTAGTGGAAGCGAAACAAATAGATACAGAAAAAAAGATTGAAAAAGAGAGAGAGACATAGAGAGAGGAGAGGTTAGAGATAAAGAAATATAGAAGGAGCGAAAGAGAGAGAGAACAGGAATAGAAATGAAGAAAGAGATATAGATTAGATAGATAAATAGATAGAAAGAGAGGGGACAGAGAGGTTACAGATAAAGGTACATAGAAGGAGCGAGAGAAAGAGAGAAAGGTAGGGAGAGAGAAGTAAGAGATAGAAATATAGAGGGAGCATGAGAGAGAGAGAGAGAGAGAGAGAGAGAAAGAGAGAGATGTTAGTGAAAAATACAGATCGTGTATGAGAATAAGGTCAGAAATAGAGGAATAGCAGGAAGAGAAATAAAAAAAGTGATACAGATTAAATATATATGAAGAGAGGGGAAGAGAATGTGAGTAGTGAGTGAGTGAATGAGAGAGAGAGAGAGAGAAAGAGAGAGAGAGAATAAATGTTAATGGAAGTGAACTATTTTTTTAATCCGGCCCGGAGGACCAAATTTTTTGGAATTAAGAAATTAATATGTAGATTGATAGACGGACGAAAATAAAATAGAGTATGAATGATTTGGGAGTGAGATATCACTTTCCAAATTCCGACCCGGAGGACCAACATATTTCAAATTGACAGATGGATAAACCAACATAAAGAGAGATAAATATGTATTGGTGAATATATTTTGGAGAGAGAGGGGAAGAGAGACAGAGAAGTTAGAGAAAAATACAGATTGTGTATGAGAATATGGTCAGAGACAGAGGGAGAGCAGGAAGAGAAATTAAAAAAGAGATACAGATTAAATAGATAAATAGATAGAAAGAGAGGGAATAGAGGAATAGGAGGGAGTAGATAGATAGAGGTAAACGAATATAAAGGGGGCGAAAGAGAGGACGAAAGGTTAGAGAGAGAGAGAGAGAGAGAGAGAGAGAGAGAGAGAGAGAGAGAGAGAGAGAGAGAGAGAGAGNAGAGAGAGAGAGAGAGAGAGAGAGAGAGAGAGAGAGAGAGAGAATAAATGTTAATGGGAGTGAACTATTTTTTAATCCGGCCCGGAGGACCAAACTGTTTGGAATCAATAAATTAATATGTCGATTGACAGACTGATGAAAATAAAATGGAGTATGAATGATTTTGGAGTGAGATACCATCTTCTAAATTCCGGCCCGGAGTTAGTGAAAAATATAGATAGTTTATGAGAACAAGGTCAGCGATAGAGGGAGAGCAGGAAGAGAAATAACGAAAGAGATACAGGTTTAGATACATGGATAGATAGAGAGGGAGAGTGTGTGTGGGAGAGGAGTAGAATAGGGAAAGAAAACAAGGGAGAGACTGATGAATGGTATATGCTCTATAATAACCATTATTAATGGGGAACTCCCTTTTAAAAATAACCCTTATTAGCCGAAGGTCGTGGGTTCGGATCCTCGTGACACTGGCTGTTTAATCCCAACCAAGACCTTAGATAAAAAGAATAATTAATTGTAATAACCCTCATGTTCTTCATACATAGAACACCAAAAGCGAGACCAGGCGGACATTACTGCTCAAGCATAACGCCGCCAACCATCGACAACACATTTAACCCGATTGCATCCCGGACTCACTGACATGTGCGTTTTTTCCTTTTTATAATTATCCACTCGTCATATCCGGAACTGAAAAGGGATTATCTTTATTTCTATCTGTCCATAAAAAATAATCACAGGCTTAAAAAGCAGACGGGCGTCACGATCCGATTAAAAACGAATCCAATAACGCGTCACGGCGCTGTTGCATAGCGAACCCAAAAGACGCCTGGTTTTCATGACAGAAAATCCTTTAAATATTGACGTTTTCGTTGACACCACTACCCAAAAATTAAGCCCCAAAACAACAAAAACATTGATACAATTATGCTGTTTCCGGATTCAATGCCGTGATCTCGTCAGTTTTCTCTTTTGTTTCAGGAACTCGATTATGCAGGAGAAGCGCGTGGACGCGAGGAGGGCTCGAATGAAAATGGTTTCGATGGGAAATGAATTATGCAGCGGGAAGAAAGCGAGGCAGAACGAAGCCACGGGAGAAAAGCCAACCGCGGACTTCAAGCGACAAACTTAGATGTCCCATTTCATGAGTTCACATGATCTTCACAAACTAAACCTGGCAATCTGAAAAACAAATTTCCCATTTGGTATTTCTTTTCTTCATGTTAATACGTTTTCTTCGCTTATGTTTAACACAGACTTGCATCTTTTTACGCAAATACATTATAGGGAGAGAGAAGTAAGAGATAGAAATATAGAGGGANCTATATATTATATGTATACATAACGTTTTCAACGTCCTAATTTACATTAGTCTTTATTTTCTTGATTAATATTTGTTCCTAAAAAATATTTTTTGTGCAATTATTACTGGCACGTTGTATGATTTTATTATGACTATTATTATTATAAGCAAAACCAACCAAATGTAAGTACATAAAAATTTAAAGGTGGAGCGTTTTTTTTTTGTGCACCAATGTATTAAAAAAATATATATAACTTAATTTAAAAAAATATTTAATTACTATAAATATTATATGTATACATAACGTTTTTTACGTCCTAATGTACATTAGTCTTTATTTTCTTGATTAATATTTGTTCCTAAAAAAAATTATTTTTTTGTACAATTATTTCTAACAAGTTGTATAATTTTATTATTACTATTATTATTACCAAAACCAACCAAACGTAAAACGTAAAAAAAAAAGTATAATTATTATAAATATTACATGAATACATTTTTTTTTACTGGGGCTTCCGGCATCTAGGTCATTTCAGCCCCCAACTAAGTCAATATTCTATTTACACTTTCAAACACTACTTTCATACAAATAAATACACTCACGCACATAAATACATCCATACAATACACTCATTCCGTTTGGTCGGTGGAGTACTTTTATAAATATTCCGCCATCGACCCCGAACACACACTCATACGCTCTCAACGTTCGAGGGGCGATGATGATGTTATATTTCATCATCACCCCTCGCCATTCACGCTAATAAATACATACACTCAGACAAAGCATATAGACACACAACACATAAGACATATTATATACAATAAAAAAACCCAATAAAAAGCGGAACAGAGGAAACTGAAAGTCGCTGCAGTGCTCGAGTACCATCTTCAGATTGGATGGCATGCCTACACGCTCCCTGTAGGGAGCCAAGGCATGTTCCAGTATGTGGGACACATCGAGCAACATTTCTCTGCATAAGGGGCACCTGCGCAGGCTTTGAACCAAGAGCAGGTGCCCGTCTGTCAACCGTGTATGGCCTATTCTTAATCGCGTAAAGACGATTCCTTGTTTCCGGCTCAGGTTCTCGGGGGACCGTCTACGAATCGTGCTCTTGACGCGTAAAAGCATTTCGGACGACCGGCCCACTAACGCTGCCATCTTTCTTTTATCATGTTCTTTACTGCTAGCTTGGCGTCAGAGGGCCTGGTCGCGATGGTCCGGTCTGGAGAGTGGGACGTCCGGGCCTTTGCCGCCTCGTCCGCATGTTCATTACCCTCCAGCAAAATTTGTTGTTAAAAAATTATTTTTGTATTTATAGTTTTGTAATTATTATTTTATAATTTTATTATTACTTTCACTAATTTCGTGGTCCTTGACCAATTAATATATTACAATTAATTAAGGTTTTTAATTGAGATAAAAAAGTCAATGGCACGAGCGGGATTCGAACTGATGATCTTCGGCTAGATACGCCGCTGCTTTACCNTTGTCGTGTCGCTTTTTTGTTTATTGACTCATACCTCCTCATTCATTCAGTATTTCTCTGACCGTTCAATCACTCATTTTCCCGTGAACCAGTTTGTTAGTTATCTCGCTCAGTTATTCAACTGTTCCTTGAACCAACAACGTTCGGTTTCAACTCTCCTTGTCCTTCATCAGATTCTATACTTAACTCATTCTCAAACACATTCGAACATTGCTAGTCGTTCACGCGCTTTTTTTTTCCAACTACTTATCCACATAAAACATTCAGTCTTTAACATCCGTTGTCATTCACACGCTCATTTATGGAACTATTCGTTCACTGCTAACTCAATTCTCTCAGTTGTTTAACTTGCTATTCAACCACTTATTTTTCTTTATTTGCAAATATGTTGTTCATTTTCTGCCAATATTGTACACACAGAATACTACAAATTATGTTCTTTTACTTAAGTCCTTGTAATTTTAGCGATATGCAAAAAAGAGCCCACGGTTGCGATCAAGGCGAAGTCAAACAATGCCCTGAATTTTCAATGCAAATGAGCCGTCAGGCCATTTTAGAAACGCCATCGGACATTAATTTAAACCAGCTCGGGACGTGTAAAGATAAGTGGATAAAAGGTCCGAAAGGACAAAGGCAGAAAAAGGAAAAAAGGCAGGACAGTTGCATAGATACAGGAAGTAGCAGCGCGGCAGGAAAGGGGCAAGGCTGTGGGAAACTGGACCAAAATCAAAATCGCAGCCTTTTGTCATATCGTACTTTTCCGATTTTACGCTTAAACAATTAATTTCAAAAAGAGAAAAATTCCTCCGTCCAAATGAAATAAATAACAGTGTGTTAAAGCAATTCGAATATTCCTAGGATGTTTTTTTTTTATTCTTTCTTCACCCTCCCAGCCGAATTCCGATGGAATAAATAATTTTTTTTTATTTGACCCCAAAGCGTAAATGGAGAACGTGCGCGGAGTACGATTAGATAAGAATGAGTCATGTCATGTGAAGTGTCACTGACTCTGATTGCCTTTTGGTCGAAGGGGGGTCCCGAAATTCCTCATGTCAACCATCCCCAGCCTTCTTGATCGATTCAAATATTGTATTAACATTTTTTTTTTATTTTACCCCATTTTACCACCCAGGGTGTAAAACGATGTATTCGGCAGGACTTCACAGGTCGGAGTCGTCAAATTGCGATTTTCCGCAACCCCCTCCTACTTGGATGAAAAGTGAAAACAGGCGACGATTTTCATTCTATCTAGCTGACGCCTGTTTTCTTCCATCTGGACCTGCTGAGGTCAGCGTGGACAAAAATCCGTCCATATACGATCAAGGAATGAAATGTATCCTAAAGAGGCAAAGAAGGGGAAGGAGAAGACAGATATAAGGTTAAGGTAAGGTTAAGAAGGTGATAGGAAGAGTGTAATAATGGAGAAAGAGTAAATGAGGAAATTAGAGAAATTGGAATTGCTAAACGGCAAGAGATAGAGTTGAGAGATAGATAAATAGATTAAATATATATCTAAAAAAATATTGTACATATGTATTCATAGTTTGAAAAAATATACGTTTTGACACAACACCGATATTTTCAGGCCTGATCATCGGTTTTAAATACATGGATATATCGAAATGTATTTGATTAAATATCGGTCTGAAATATCGATATTTTAATATGTCGATAGCTTGAAAACACGTTTTGTAATAATCAGTTTTAAATGTATG